AAGAGAAAGCTTTATATAGACACTGAAACCACCTTAGTCGGATGTCAGATGAAGATTTGTGATGCATCAGAAGTTCACTCCCACTATTGTCAAATGACAGCAGCTGTTGCTGTTAAATTCATGCATTGCACCGCGATGCATGGCGCCTCATGCTGTAACGCATGGCGTAGAGAAGGGTGAATCGTGGCATATATGTCACAAACAGCAGCGCATGTCACTTTTTTTGCACAAAATTTAGTTTTGAGTTTTAAAACTCATTGGTTCGGGTCCCATTTATTTTTCAAGCTTTTGCATCATTTTCAAACTCAGATTTGAGCATAATAAGTATTGGTTGAGATTTGAAATGTTAAATTTAGGATCCCATTATATATGATTTGAAAATTCTTCTCTTTTATGAAATTTTACAACTTTGGTAATCCATTGAGGGTTAATCCCTTAATTACCTTGATTATGGAGTTAAATGTGATTAAGTAAGGGAAACCTTACAGAAGCTATTTAGCCAAGGTTACTTAACTCACTTGCGAGTTATGGTTTCCTTTAAATCTCACACTATGGATGTTGTTTTCCTTAAACTAACTTCCTCATCGAATAAGTGAAAACTAAATTAATTAGGTTTAAGTCTCTAAATACCTATAAGATAGTCCCTTGTGGAACAAGTGAGACAAGTAATATATAAATGTATTAAGGCAAGCCATCGAGCTATGAATGGCGGCCATACCACATAGATTTCAGCTCTCTACTCCTTTATATAGGTGAACTCTCACCTCACATAATCATGCAATACACAAGTGCAACAAATTCATAGCATGCATATAACTTAACATATTTACATGGTAAATAACATCATAGTACTCCATGCATATTTATTTCACAATACATCACATGACTTCACTTCACACTTATCACGAAAACTTTATATCACATTATATCATTAAACTCCATGTTGTCATACAATCACAATTAATCACAAATCTCTTAATTTTCACAAAACATACATGTATATTTTATTTTTCAATTTATTAAATCGCCATTGCAATTTGTTGTTTGTCATACCGTTATAACGCCCTAAATCATATGTTCATAATACAATCACTTGCAAAAAAATTCATCAATCATTATCATTACATGATTATTTAAATATCACATGCTACACTTGCATTACAAACAATATTACAAGTAACAATAATGGTTTAATAATCAAAGTAACTAATTAACACATAAAAGTATAAGAAAATTTTTTACCAAAAAAAAAAGCATAAGAAAATTTTCCTTCGATTATCTCAAACCTTTAAGAAATTAAAGGTTTACCTGTCAATAAAATGGTTCCAAAGCTTCACAAAGCTTGAATGGTGCCAGTATGAAATTTAATCTAGAAATTATCATACCAAAAATTATCAATACCATGATTTCAATAACTCATACTCCTCAATTCAACACTTTAAACCTATTAAAACTATAATCTTTTCACTTTTACACATACTTATTGGGTTCATCAACTCTTTTTAAGTCACATTAACTTCATTAAACTCCCAATCGACCATTAATGACATTAATAACCTTCAACTACTTCATTTATGAGAAATTTTTAGACAGTTATGATCCCCAACCTATAAAAATGCATTTATTACTCATACTAGTATTTAAATACCTTAAACAACTCATATTAACTATATTTAAATTAATGGGTTTAAACCCATAGCCCCATAAGTCTAAAAATCAACTTCTCTAGCAAACCCTGACTTTTAAACTTAAGAAAAATGGAAGAGGAAGAAAGATAAATGCTTAGAGAACTTATTAGTAAAGGTTGGGAACATCAAATAATTTTCAAATGGTGTTCTAATCCATGCCCTAGCAGAGCTCTCCTTGTGCTCTTCTCATTTCTTGTTCAAACACTATCTTTTCTCTCATATTTGTATTAGGATCGTGTTTGATACATTTAAAATTCTGGTGTTCTAAACCATTTCACTATGCTTTGCGATACACGCTCCTTGGACCATGACATGTGATATAGAGGACTCTACCTCCTGTGAACTTGAGCCATATGATATGGCACACGCTCCTTGCGCCGTAACATGTGGCATAGAAACCTCCTTCCTAATATTTTCTTTCCTTTTTAGGGCTTAAATAGCCCATTATCATTCCAGACTTGATACCAAGGTTGTAGCCACAACCCAATAGGCCCGTTGGCCCTCTTAAATCACACACCATGCTAATTAATTCAATTAACCTCAATCACTAACTTATACTCATATGGTTTAACTAATTTGAGGTTAAGATTTTTGAGATGTTATATGTTCTCCCTATATATTTAAAATTAAAATTTAAACAATAAAAACATCATTTTATAATTTGTTAATTAGATTTATATTTTTTATTACATACAAGTATATTCTCCTATAAGAAAAAATCATATTCAAGATACAATCAGATATTAAATTTTAGCACCTTTCCTTGTAGGAACTCAAATGTTAGCTTGTCTCTACTGATTTTTTTCTTTTTGCTACATCCAACCCCGTTGGTAACTTTAAAAAATATATAGCAGTAAAATATACAAACATTATCTCTATAATTTTACCATAATTACATATACTTCTTTTCAATTTTTAAAAGTATGCAAACCCCCTTGAAACTATTAGTCATTGTATTGTATCCCAAATAAAAAGAATAATTTATTATTTTAGAAAGTGTTATCACTACATAATTAAAAATTTAAATTGCCAAAAAAAGTCATTCAGCTAAATGCATATTTTTTTCACTCTTTATTTTAATTAAATTTGTAATTTCATTGCATATCCTGCACTTAATATTTTTACCATAAGTCTTATATCCATAATCATTTTCTATTATATATCTTACAACTATTATTTTCACAATGAATCTTGCATAATTTTTTAAAATATAACAAATTTATATTTTTTATTTTTTAAATTAAATTTATAATCATATTGCAAACTTCATATTTATCATGTTCATTGGATATAATTTGTATCATTATTTTTTATTACGAGCCTTACACCTATTTCTTTTAATGTGGGTCCTACAAATATGATTTAAAACTAAAAAATAGTTTAATATTATACGAACTGTAGATGAATAGTGTTTTGATGCAGTAAGATAAGACTAGCTTTGATCTCGCGCAGTGCAGGGAATTATTTTAATATTTAAAAAAATAAAAGTAAAATAAAAATTTTAAAAAAAATTTATTTTAATATATTTAGAACTAGGCAATTCATTTTATTTTAAAATTTATTTTACACACATCTTAAAAATATATTCCTTTCATTAAAAAAATATAAGATATTTTTTAAAAAGATATATATTTAAAAATATAAAGCATTTTTAGTATACTAAAGTATAATTAATGTATTATTTTAAAATGTCCTAAATAAATAAATTATTTTATATTTATTTTTAAGTGATACACCCTTTGAAATAAGGGTGTGTGTATATATATATATATATGAAATATTATTAGTTAGAAGATAATTAATTAATTTTATTAAGAGTAAAATTTAATTAAAAATAATTTATATTTTTTTAAAAAAATAAATAATAACTTATTTTATTTTAAAATGTATTGTCCTTAGAGATGGATTTAACCAGTTTTCTCATACAGCTAACACCCACGCTTGTGTAATTATGCTCTTCTTTCATTGAAGTAAGGTATCGACTTGGTTAGACGGGCCTCTTGTTTGGTTTGAAAAAGTTGAGGAAAAGGGAAAGAAAATTTTTAAAAAATCCCTCCTCCAAACCCTTCCCTCCAAATTAAAGGAATTGAAAAGGGAGATGCATAATTTTGTTGTACAATGATCAATATTTTCTTTCGTTTAATTGCCACTCTTTATCTTTTTAAACAAGTTCAACAATGGCAAATTTTTAATGATATATTTAACAATGATAATTATTCTATATGCTCATTATTACATATTAAAAAATCCATAATTATATTTTATTAGGAAAAATAATTTTGATAATCTAAGCATAAAATTGTCTATATATAATTATTTTTCCTCTCCTCCCCTCCCCTCCATTAAAATCCCTCTCTTGCCTTCCTCTCCTAAAAAAGTTAAATTATTTACAAAGTTTTTTCTCTCATAATTAATTGAAGAAGAAAATTTGGCACCCAACAAATTTTCCTTGCTCGATATAAATTAAAATTTAAACAACAACTTCTATTTCACAATGTGTTTTCCTTATGCATATAAATTTTGAGATACCTCCAATAAAAGTAGTATTATTTAAATCAGAGTAAACAAAAGAAAAAATTTTGAGATTTGCACAAGAAATTTAACAATATCATGCATGATAATAAGTTTTGCAATCTTTTTTTTTTAATTAGGTAAGTTGGATCTTAAAAATTCATTAGAGCAAGGGCATGCTTATATATTCAAAAAATATTTACAGAAGTACTTATAAATTAATTACCAATAAAATCTTCACATCAATAGCGAAATTAACCTCACGACTTTATAAGTTATAAATTAAATCTTTATCAATTGAACTATCCTTTGTTAGTTAGATTTGCGATCATTTTAAACTAGATTGACTATGTTTATCAAATGCAGGATGGGTTACGCCTTTTTTTTTTCTTAACCTCATGATCTTTTAAGTTATGAATTAAATCCTTACAAATTGAATTATTCTTTATTCGTTAGTTTTGCAATCATTTTAAGTCAGGTAGGCTATATTTAGCTAACATTGTTGATCGAGTTGCAAGAAGTCATCCCTGGGGAAGTGGGCTTTGATGATGGCTCATGGGCTAGAGGATTCATGTGCAAGTTTGGGCACTATACCTGACTGCCTCCATTGATGGCGTAAAATGAGCCCCAAGATTGAATTTGACCGAGCTCATGATTGAAAGTTATACAGAAGATACAATGGCATATATCGATTAGAAGAAGAAAGGAAGAGAAATATAAACGTACCCTGTGTTAACAGGGGAACTAAATTGATCGGACTTAATAAAAACAAATTAAAATTTCTTAAAAAAATTGCAATTAAAAGGAAAAGATCTTTCACTATTCAGCGTTCACAGTTAGAGTACACTTTTTTGACCAATGCCTGACCTCTTTACAAAACTGTAAAGTTGAAACTTTGAAAATGATTAAGATCTATTTCAAATAATTTAAGGGATTCAACAGATAAAATAGAATACAACTCACCTCCTACCTGTTATTGCCTATCATTTGATTGATCCCTTAAATTATTTGAAATAATATAAACAAAAAAAAAGGACAAATATAAAGTTAGGTGAGATTCGCTCATGTGTGAGTCTGCTTTTTGGCTCTATGTTCTCCCGAATTGTTCTTATAAAGCATCTCCTATGTCAAAAGTATAACCTCAATTTCTTCATGTGTTTCAGAAGTTGAAGAGATTTATAAGGAAGAGTGAGAGGTGAAGAAGTTGAAGTCATGGTGATGAAGATTGAGTTGCCTCAACCAAGAATCAGCAGCACTGTAAAGATATGTTAGCCTTTCAGAATCACAGGAATCAGGGTTTACCCATATGTCTCCCTGCATTTTGTATGCCGCCGCCCCGAACGGTGGCACCGACATCCACCCGCCGCCACTTGTCATTTTCTCTCCTACTAGCTCCTTCTGTGCGGCACCACCACCACAACAACATATGCCTTTCCCTAACTCAATGTCTTCGTATTCCTTCATGTTATCTGAACAGAAGAGTTTCACAACGTACAACGCAGTAATTTAGAGTAAAAACTGCAAGTTGGATTGAGACATTTAACAACTCGTAGGTACCTTGGAAAGACGACGATAATGTATGGTAAGTAAGGAAGCATGTTTCCAAGTCCTTTTCATTCTTCACACTTGGTATGGCATATATAGGGTACCTGCCAGTTGAAGTGTCAGTATATATGAATATATATATATATATATATATATATTTATATATATATATATGCATGTAACAGACCAATTGCACCAGACACCTATTAGAAAGAGGTGGTGAAAAATTGTTTATTCAAGGTATCAAATAGAAACTTTGAGAATGATAAATCAACCAAACAAAATTTGAGGCGTTCAAAGATTAAATTGACCGTCACATAATAAAATCTAAGTCAAGATCAATTTTCACCTATCAAAACCATTGACTAGGTCTACTTGGGATATAATTGAATCAATAACTAGATTTTTTTTTTTTAACACCAACAATGACATGAAATGATATTCTAATATTTGATATTTTTCTTGAATGACGAAATGACGGTCCATATATTGCATAACGTCTCATACAACAGATTACACTATTCAGAGATTGTGAAAAATGTGGCTTCCTATAAATTTTAATAATGTATATAGACATGGATATGTTCTTAGAATTCTACTCTATAGTAACATAAAAACTCAATTGTATTATATATATATATATATATATATATTCTGAAAACACTAAATCACTTGGAAAAGAATCAGAAATTAAACACGACCAAACCGACCAAACCTTTAAACTTTTCCATGGAAGTGATTTTGGAACAAGTCTCTTTCTCCCAATACTACCTTGTTTAGAAAGTTACCTATCTCTTGCAAGTTGAGTCAAATGGTCATCACAGTGTTAAATGAATACTTGAAACTTTTGTATTGAGTTACATCCATTAAAAGTATAAATGAGCAAAGTTTACCACTTCAAACTCAACAGTTCACTTCCCAAAAAAAAAATGTTATTACAGTTGAGCTTAACACATAAAACCAACTAAATTATATGCTCACCAAGCAACTGCCATCCAACTTGCCGGTGAAAGATCGACACTCTTCAGGGTCATCAATGCCGGGTGGCTTCTTGCTAACTCAGCTATCTGAAATCACACATGTATAGCAGTCCTTACTCATCAGTGATGCAGCATTGTGAGTGTCACACATAATATCAATATCATTTTCATTACCACTTAAAAGAGGTGAACGTTACAACCTTCTCCACAAGTGGAACCCTCTGATATGGCGAAGACATCTCAGTGTACTGTAAATAGTGGTAGCCAAGCCTATCCCTCCTTGGCCATGAACCATCCTGGTCACAGCTCTCCTCAGACACAGCATCCCATGATTTGCTTGAGTTGTTGCTCAGTGACTGAGATAGATTGTCGCTTCCGCTGTCATCACTCCACGAGTCACTTTCAAATTCGACTCCATCGCCCTCCTCTCTCCGGTTCCTACAAAATAGGAAGAGTCAACTTGGTAGATTAAATCACCACGTAGGAAATACATGCACAAACATAGATATATCATATAGTAGAAATACATGTACTAACATAGATACCGAACACGACAAATACATGTACTATCATGGATACACGACACAACAAATACATGTATTATCATGGATACACGACACGACAAGATATGAACAACTACAACGATTAAATGTAATTTAAGGTGTTTTGTCACGTTCAATGTATATAAAACAGAATATCACTTTTTTCTTAAGTATCAGCATTTCATAAATTGTCGTATTTGTCGCATTTAATATATAATTGTTGCTTTATGAGATTTAAGGTGTTTTGTTATGTTCATTGCATATAAAACACAATATCGCTTTTTCTCATAAGTGTTGACCTTTCAATAATTGCCGTATCTGTCGCAATTAGTATATAATCATCGAGGTTGTCGTGTCGTAAAATGTACCTAGAAGCCACAACAGATTTGTCGCTGTAGATATGGATGGATGATAAATAGGGAACAAAGAACTGCATCACAGTTTCATCACCACTTTCCAACATCACATTTGTTCCAGCACCAAATGCACTCCATTCCTTGTAGCAGTCCCACAGATCCTTCAGGGTAAAGTATTCAACTGTGTCCTTACCAAGAGGTTGCCACAGGGCATTCAGATCACTAATGCAGTTCTGCAATGTACATTCAATTAAAAAATCAACCAAAAATGGTCAATAAATCAAATTGACCATTTCTGCCTTCTATCAGAATCACAAGCAATATCAACACATTTTTTATTGCAATCCAACCCATCCAAGAGAATACACATATTTAGAAAAATAACCAAAAGTATGCACAAATTCTAAATTGCAATGAGTTGGCTCGCATCAGATATACCCAAAAATAAAAAGTAGCAAGATTCCTAGGGAAAAGATTACTAATATCAGTAATGAAATACATCTAAACATTGCATAGAGAAATTGGGGAACCAATTATCTAATTTGAGACTTGAGTAAGTGGGGTGCTACAAGTGACATGTGGCACTCATCCGAATAGAAGCAACGTTGTGGACTTGTGGTTATCCTTTTGTTATTATGCTTTTACCATTATTCAGAGGCCAAAGCAAGAAAACACTTTCCACTGCAGAATGACAATGTCAAACTTTTACCCGCAGATTTCCCTTCCAAATGCTGCAATTTCACGTAGTTTTATCTCTCTTTTTAAAAAGCGTGTGACTTAGACTCAGACGCAACAAATCAATAAACATATCAATACAATATACAATTATATATAATTAAAAACATACAACGTAAGAAAAGGTTCTGGTTAATGTCACATTCAAAAGAAAAAAAAATATTTTTTAGCACTAGGACAGCAAAGGTGGACAACTGGAGGAGATTGAAAAGTGCAAAAGTAATTTATTTTCACCCCATCTTGATAATCCCATTTCTTAATTGAAATTAATTTAATTAAATCTTTATGATAGATTAAATTTAAAACCATTGTGTTTGGGCTAAAATATACCCTGCGATTGAAGACGATTGCTCAAGGCTTGTATAAGGAAACGAATATTCTAGATCTGGGTTATTATTAAACAGGACAAAATTTGGCTAGTTTCAATTCAGAATGTTACTTTTGATTTATCAGTTGAATTTCTCTCAATTTCACGATTGAGAGATGGAAATCTGGAATCCTCTGTAACCCGAAAGAGTTGACCATAGTACTAAAAGACCCAAAGCAAAAAAAGACAAAGATAACATCGGCTTACAAGAAAACGAAAGTAATTAATAATTCAAATATTAAAATGTTATTACTGGTAAAAAAAAAGTAAAAGTAAAATATCTGAGATGAAAATATTAAAAACTTATTGACAAAAAAGAAAAATCTCCAAATTTTCTCCCAAATTCCGCAGATAACGCGGAAATTTTCCGGGAAAAAGAATCAGGGCGAGAATTTCCATTCCATCGTTTATCCTCATGACACGCAAATATACACACATGAGATTTTTCAAACTGAACGAAAAGTTCTTTAAAAATGTATAAACTTTCGCTCCCGGTTATGGAAAACCAGAAAGAAAGAAATAAAGAACTCGACCTTGAAACAGCCATTGAGAGAAACAGGGAAACATTAAGAGGAAGCAGACAAAAAGAAGACGGAAAGTACATACCTGTGAAACAGTCTTCGAAGGAACTACCGGAGTGATACGTTGAAGAAACCGTTCAAAATTCGTGAGCGAGCTTCCGCAGCAACACGACATGATCAAGCGGAAAAGTTTCGCAAGAAAGAGACCGAAACCTCAAGAAATTTCACTGCCTCTTAGAGACTCGAAAAGCGAAGGAAGAAGAGACGATTCGCGAATCCGAAACCTGGGAACCAAACTCACAGAAGAGAAACGAAACAAAAAAGAGGCATATATATAAGGGACTGCATTTTGCAAATTGATGAAGTTCCCTTGTAAGCTGGCCTCGAAAGTCAAAGAATAGGGCAACGATTATTTCAATCAGAGAGGAGCAGCAGCAGCAGCAGCAGAAAAAGAAGAAGAGGAGCAGAGAGATTGAAATTTGAGAAAAATGGCGAAATCCAGAAAGAAGTTTGGAGGCATTGGGCAATACATAATAATTGCGACGAAGAGACAAAGTGTGCCTACTGGAGATTTGGGAGAAAATAAATGTCGCAGAGAATTGAGAGATGACTTTAAATGCTTTGATTGAAATTAAAGATGGAAGCTCTCTGAAGTAAGAGATGAGAGGAAGAAGCTGAATGAGGCCGAAGGAGCAAATAGAGCGAGAGGGAATTTGCAACGCTCTGTTTTTATGTGTCTACTGAGAGAGAGAGAGAGAGAGATAGAGAGAGAGAGAGAGAGAGAGAGAACTCAATGTCAGTTCATTAACTTTGATAATTGAAACGGATTTTCGGATTTTCCTGGTTCGGATGTTTTTGGAAAGGAAATTAATTTTTTAAAATTTTTAAAAATGGTAATATTTATTAAGTCAAACAAGTGATGATTAAGTCCAACGTTATAATTATTCATAATATACAATTTTTTTCAATCGCATCTTATCCAAATTTTTATATTTTAATGAATAAAAATTTATCAGGTACTTAAACAATCATATTTCGGATATTATTTTCCAAAAATCATGACCAGGGTAAAGAAGTTTCTTTACTTGTATCTTATTCTATCATTATCTCTTGTTATTTTTATGTCGTTTAAATAGATTTGGAGGCCCATAACAAAATATTTTGTTAAATTTTAAATTTAATATTTTAATTAATTTTAAAAATATTCTAAAATATGCAAATTAAAATAATTAAATTTATCCTCCTTTTTCATTGAAAAAAATTATCCTCTTAACTGTCATTTAGCTTACAGATGAAAAACATTTGGCACTAGCAGTGAGACTTACTCACTCTAGTTTTATTTATAAATTATATTTTAAAATGTTTATTTATAAGTTATGATATAATTTTTTAAATAATATTTAAAAAATATTTTTAAAATTACTCTCTAAGAAAAACAAAAGGTAACCTAACATCATTTTTTAAATTTGTTATATAAATACATATTTAAAATTTTACACATTTTTATTTCTTATATTTTTTATATTAATATTGATAAAAATGACTTATGAAAAGGGTTGAGAAATATATCTTAATTAATCTATGAAATAATTAGAAATCGCAATAAAATTCTACACATTTTTATTTTTTGTATTTTTTTATATTAATATTGATAAAAATGACTTATGAAAAGGGTTAAGAAATATATCTTAATTAATCTATGAAATAATTAGAAATCGCAATCTTTGTGTGCAGAGTCAGAGAATTGTTTGTTTTCCTTTTTTGGTTTCAATCAGGGAATTGATTGTTTAAAATAATTCGATATAATTAAATACAAAATTTTTCAAAGCTATTCAAAAATTGTAAATGTAAATTAATTGTTTGAAATAATACTAAATGAATACGAATAATCATGTCAATAAAATTTGACATACATAAATTACTCTTTTGTTTATTCTTATTATATGGCCATTCATCCTCTTCACACAAAATGAGTAATTTTGTTAACATGAGGAAGCCTTACTAATTCCCAAATTACCCTCAACCCTTCTCTCTACTGATTTAACCTCTTCCTTCCAAAATTATTGATGCATATTATAAATAAAAGAATTTAAAGAAAATAAAAACTAATGCCTTGGGCAATTTAGAAAATTCCAACAATCATTAAAAATGGTTGGCGAAAAAATCATTAAAATGTTTTTAAAAAGACTTATAACAAAGATATGAGAAAGTATTAGGCATGACAAAAAACAATTCATCGAATTTCAAAATTGAAATAAAAGTATCTTCTATAGGTATCTAATATCTATCACATACAATGTTCAAAAAATAATGAAATAGTTAATATATTTAAAATAATTATGTATTTATAAAATACGGTATTAATTCATTCTATTTTATTATATTCTAGATGTGATTACTGTAAAAGATGAATCGGATATTTTTAATAAGACTTTGTTCCTGAACGAAAATTTAATTTATATTTATTTCATTCGTACCGTGATTAGGACGGGAGATAAACATCACACCATGATCTCGAATCCAAAGAACCTTTATCCACATTTAATTTGAAAAAGAAACATTAACCATGATTTAATAGTAATCATTTATTTTGTTTTAATATATATATTTTTGTCACCTAATTATATATCTTAATTACCATTGCATTTATGCTCAAGAAGATACATATGCTTAGATAGTCTCGAATGACAAGGGTAAGGTGTAGATAGATGTTTAGGATTCAAATTTCAAACACTCCTAATATAACAAAATTAAATAAACACTTTTAATCTTGAAGGTGGATATTACTTATTACGTGTTTTATGATTTTTTAAAAAGTGAATACTTGATTTTAAAATAAAAATTTTATTTTTAATTAAAATTAGTAATATTCACTTGATTTATTCCTTTAAGACAAATGTCATTTTTGACACGTATTCATATTTTATTTAAGACAAATATTTCTTTTAGATTAAAGATTATTGATATCTGTACCTGTGATTTTCTAGTTTCTATATATAATTAAATTGAATATCTGGCTTTTCTTGCTTTGGTTTTTCCTAATAAAAAAATAATATGATTTCATGTTATAGAATTAAGGTGTAAAAATATCTAAAAAAATTTCTCTTACTTCTTATATCTTCAATTCAATAATAATGTGGAAATACCTATAATTAAATTTATAAAAGAAATCATTTCTCAATCTATGAAGTTCTTTAAGAGATTGAAGAAGATTGACATCTTTTATAAAATTAATGAGTACCCATCTATCAGTATTAATATAGGGATACCAAAAATTTATGAATTTTTAATATCATATTATAAATTATAGAATAAATGTGTATTTTCATCCTTCAAATATTCTTTGAGAAATATTCAATACTTTAAATTATTAATCAGAGTAATTTTGCCTTAAAAATAATTAAACAGAATATTTTGGCCTTTACTGTTAAATTTTCTAACTTTTAACATTAGAATTTCAGTTAAACTAAGAATTTGAAAAGCATAGAATGTTTATTTTAATTATTTTAAAAATAAAATTATTTTAATTAATAGTATAAGATTGTGAGTGTTTTTTTAAAAAAATATTTAAAAAAATACATCTTTATCCTAAATTGTGAAAGAAGAGACGGAAGTTTTGAGGGGCCAAGCAAGTCGCATCGCCGCGTGTTTGAGGAAGTGTCATTGCTAGTACCCAACGGGCTCAAGGCTTTGTTTGTTGGAGGGTGTGTACTATTCTCGTGCGATGGCTTTGGTTGTTTTTGATTTCGTAATGATAGTTATACACGTGTCCGAACACATTATTGTTAAACGGTGATGTGACTTGGCACGTGATTCTCACGTGCATTCCTTGACCTCTTCTCTACCGCTCTCTCTGACACTGACTTCGCCACTTTCAGACAGTTCGGAGCCTTCCAAAAACGCTATTACGCGAGAGAGCATCTGTGTGCTGCAGTGATGACTGGAAAGCCTCACCCATTCTGTCAACTCAAAGCTTGCCCCGTTCTCATTTACAAGGCAAGGAGAGAGGATCTTCAATGTTCATGTTTATATTTTTACTTTTATTAAATTTTTAAAATAAAAATATTATTAATAAAATTTAAAAATATTTATTAAAAATAAAAATATAAACTTATTAAAATTTAAAATATATTTAATAAAATTTAAAATTTTTTATTTCAATTAAATATATTAAAAATAATTTATAAATAAAATTAGAAAAGCACTTCTATTCTTTTCTTTTGAGTTTTGAAGGAAACTCCATTTTTTATTTTTTTATTTTATACTCTTTCATTTAAAAATATAAAAAATTTTTAATTAAATCTCACCCCTCAATAAAGTAATTACTTAATTTTAAAATAGCTCTATTTTTTTATATTTATTTCTATTTAATATGATGTTTCACCCTGAAATAAATATAAAATTATTTATTCAATAAGGGTATTTTTAAAAATAATAATAATTACATCTTAAAAAATTAAAAATATTTTATATTTTTTAACAATTAACCTCTTAAAAAATGCTTTACCTTTTGAATGGAGGGAGTATAAATTTTACTGAGAGAAAATATAATTTTAAATCCTTACACTTTGCTCATTTTTTATTTAGAAACTAATAACAAAATGCAAATAAAGTATAGGTGTCCAAAATTATATTTTTACTTTTATTTTCTTAATTCTCTAATCCTAAGATTATTAATATTATTATTATAAAAAACTGACACTATAAATTTAACCCTTGATTTTTATAAAAAGATTTTGACATATACGACCGCATTAAATAAGAAGGTCAAAAAAATCTTCAAAACATCTCATGCTTTTTTATATTCTTTTCATGAAAAAATATAAAATATTTTTAATTGAATCTCAACCACAATAAAATATTTACTTATTTTTAAATTAATTTTATTTTTTGATATTTACTCTTATTAAATACTTTATAATAAATATAAAGTCATTTATCAACAGGGACAATTTAAAATAATAATAATTATATTTTAAAAAATTAAAAATATTTTATATTTTTTAACATCTAATTCCTCAAAAAATATTTTATATTTTTAAATGAAGGGATTACTAGATAATGAAATTAAAAAAAAACAGTTCATTGAAAAAAAAAAAAGATAAAGTTGAGAGATATCTCTTCATGCCCCCATTGTTTTCCATTCTTTCAAAGTTACGTTTAAAGTCCAAATCCATGCCTAACTTCAAAAATCAATGAATAAATCAATGAATAAATCATCATGCCCAACTTTAAAAAATAATCTTTGCCCGTGTTTTTGAGTAACTTTGTAAAATAATATTTGATATTAACAATTGACTAGTCCATCAATATTTCAACATATACTATAAAATTTTGCATAATTCATGAACTATAAATAGTTTAATCCTTGGAAGATTGAAATAAAATAAAAATTAAATAAAATGTGATAATTTTTTTTTAGTACTTGAAACTTGAATGTCAATTAATTTTAATATAAAAAAGATAATTTTATTCCTCTGAAAATATTGTGAGAGAGAGAGAGAGAGACCATTTTACAGGCAAAAACGGCGGCCCCCACTTTTATCTTCGATGCTGCTCTGCTATTGGCGGCGGCCATAGATTTCGGCGTCTATGACTCTGGAGAGGGCATTTCTGTCTAATCAATGGAAACTACCAATAAGAGCGAGAGATGGGGCGACGATAGCGCATGAAATTGGCACGAGAAGCGGCATCTTGAATGTGTGTTTTGCTTTGAGAAGATTCTTGTTAGGTGGTTTCGCTGCCTGGCAGCAATTGACAAGCGGCGAAGAAGGTTCTTGGAATGGAGTCACGGCGGCCGCGGCGCGGTGGTGGACGGAGGAAGGCCCAAATGACATGAGAATGAAGGGAAATGGTTTGGGAACTTCAAAATTAAACTGTCTATTTTCTACTACAGAAAGAGAATCAACAACTCAATCTTTGGTCAATTTTTAGAGACGATATAAGATGAAGTGGAGTGGCCAGTGGGTCGTAATATCTAGTAGTTTCTTCTGGACTCCATTTTCGCTTCGAAGCTTTTTAAGCTCCCACTGGTCGGAATATATGCGAACTAAGATGACTCATGACTGCGTGTGCTTGAATCCTTTGAGGGAAAATATGGCATTTTGTTAAATAAAATGACAGATAAATAATTATCACAATTCTAGTATTTGTTTGTTATTTGTTTATTTTTCTATATACATATATATAATAAAAAAAATGAAAAAATTGAAAAAAAGTATCTAGTTGAAAGAGAAATTGTGCTCAACGATCAATTTAAATTTAAGAATTAAACTAAATATTTTATTTATTTACCAATGCGAACAAATATTAAAATGTCCCTTTGTCTAAACCAGCAAAATTGATAAAAGAAAAAAAGATTGATTATTCAACACATGCATTTCAAGTTAAAAACCTTACCTCCATGATAATAAAAATTACAACTTACTTATACTTTTTTGGCTTGGGTGCAAGGCAGGCTTAAAGTGCACGTATTGAATAAACAATTTTTTTTATTTTGTTAGTTTAAACAGGGGGTCATATTGGTCATTTGGCCAAATTATTTAATAAATAAAATATTTAATTTGATTCTTAAATTCAACTTGGTCTTTGAAAACAATTTTTTTTTTAACTAAATCCTTTTCACCAATTTTCCCAAAGGAAATTTTCACATTGGTTAAAAAAAAATTATGTTCAGAAAATATGAACTATATTTTTGAGAATTTAAAAGTGTGGCTGATTCATATTGATATACAACGGTATATTATTAATAAATATAATTAATCAATTATAATTTAAAATATAATAAATATTAGATTATTTACTTAATTTGATCTTATAAAATAAATTATATCCACAAAGCTCCTACATAAAATTGGAGGCCTCCAGTTTTTTTTTTTCAAATAAAATATATTGATGATATGATTCGTTGATTAATCGAGCTAATTGCCTAATTATATTATAATTATAAAAACCATACATGACTTCTCAATAAATTCTTCCATCAGTTCAATGTTTTTTTTTTTTTATAATCGAACTTTTTTGATGAAAATAACCGATTTTTTTATTCTGCCATTATCATTTTTTCATCAGTTCCCTCTAACTTAAAATTAAATTTTGAATTTTCAGCTAATTTTTTGGTTTAAATAAATAAATCATTTAATAATTTTTTTATATTATCATTTTCCCATGCATTATACCCAAAAAAAAAAAATCTTCTGTTTTTTTTTTTTTTTAATTTTGGTATTCAATACAGGGCAACAGCCAAAACTATTCTTACATATTTAATATTCTCGAACTCGACAAGCCCAACTCATCAGCCAGTAATTCTTTCAACTCATCAGGAGGTTCTCGCATCAGCTAGCTTCCCCTTCTCTCCCTGTATCGCCCCCTCAATACTTCCTGATCATTAATTCAGGTTCAGTTGGCCAGCTAAACCCTTCCTCGAACAGTTGAGAGTTCCTCCAAGTCCAGATACACCAAACCCCCAATTGCAAAAACCAAATTCCATCCTCCCTCAATTTTTCGATCTTTGTGCAAATTTGTCAGAACCCATTCGCGTAAAGAAAGTGAGAGGACATTTCTTACCTTCTCTTCACATTTGAGTTCTTGCCACATTTGTCTAGATTGTGCACAATCTCTAATGTTATGAAGTGATTCTTCATCTGCAACTCCACATCTCAAGCAAATGGGAGAAGTCCCAAGAATTTTTACCCTGCGTGTTGAATTCACTAAGCAATCACTTGTTAGTAACCATAAGTATACCTGTATTCTGCTTGGCCCTTGCCATTCCCATATCTTCGTCAAAACCTCCTCCACTACTAAATAACATTCAATAAGCTTCTCATACATTTCAGTTACGAAGTACTTCTCCTTTCCCTTTCTCTACCACTTAATCCTACCTTCACCTTCTTCGCTTCTAGCTCATAACACTGTGTGTATCCACTTTCAGGACTTTCCCAATCTGATTGCTGAAGTTCCACAAGAATTTCTTGTCGAAATAATGCATGTTGATATCAGGAAGTTTCACCCATACAACAATCTTTGAAATCTTTTCCTTCTTGGGGTCGAAATCTTGTTTTCATCTTGTTACACTGAGGTAGATATCTACGATTATCCAAGATCCTCCAGTTTCGGCATCCATCATCTTGAAAGCCAGCAAGGAAGAAATCGTTCTCTTCGTCGGTTACTCGTACTCTGCGCTGCCCTTTTTGCCCCACAATACCAGAATCCTTCTTTTCATAAATGCAACCCAAACAGTTCGTCCAAGCGGCTTGACTACCAAGGTTCTGCCGAAAGGGAGGTCCAGTCTTTCATTTTTTTCTCTTGAAAAGGAGAAATTAGGGCATCTCGATTGCCTCCGCTGCTCTGGTCACTGAGTCACGGCATGAGAAGGGCCTCTTCTCTCCTTCATTCTTGTCGCCATTGCTTCTTAACTGGGGAAAATCCTCATCTGCAAAAGCGATTCGAGCCTTCCGCACTTTTTTCCGACTTCTTACTAGCGAGTCTTGTTCTTCCATCGTTGCCCTCGCTCTGGCGATTGACACCGCCTTTTCAGTCGCTGATAGCATTGTGCTTTGAAATTATGTTTTCTAAATTTATAGTTTTTTTTTTTTACCAACTAAATTTACAGTTTTAATTACCAAACTGTATTTTTTGGCCACTAATTACAAACTTTTTTATTTTCAACATTTGATATGCTTGATTTTAATTAATTTTAATTTCATGGGTTATCATGGGGGAAATGTTTTTGCTCATCGAAGTTTCACCTTATATTTTTGGCCCAAGAAATTCACCATATTTGCAATTTGGTTTTTATGGTTTCAAAACGTTGAAGAAATGGGAGAAGGACATTTGGCATAGAGAATAGGCCCATGTACAGCTAGATGGAGCATAAAGCTAGCCCAATACACAATGGGACCCATTGCACACAAAAAAGACTATTTTTGGAACAAAAAATGTCGTTTAGCTTTTTTTTTTTAATATGATTATTCGATTAAAAATTTGTTAAAAGTTAAAACCCAATTAGCAGTAATTATCCTAATTTTTTTTTCTATATTTACAACATAGACATGCATAAGCGATTATAACCTTTTTTTAATGGGACCAATCCACATTAGTAAATGCTGTTCAGCATTAAAGCACTCTTGTGTAAGGTTTGAAATCTTGACAAAAACTTCACTCACAAGTCAAAGAAAACGGAGAAATAGAAATAAAAACTAATTTTATTTGAATTTGTGTCTATCTGCTTCATCACTTTGCGTAAAGTCAGTTTCCAAGCCACTTGCCCATCCTATCCCTTTGACCATGTACGTGTACTTGAAATTCAGGTGTCCTTCTCAATTAATTAGGTCGGCAAGTAACCTTTCACCGGTGTTCAGCAAGTCAAATTCAGCCCATTATTTCTGCACAATCTGCCAAATTAAAGCACCAATGATTGAATTAAATTTATTTAAAAATTAAAAAATTAAAAACCAAGCACGTGTAAAAATTTACTGCCCTCATTCTTTGATTTGCTATTATCAAAATAAGAATTTGCAAGTAAAAACTTGCTAATTCATAGAAAATAAAATTGTCAAGCATATCACTATTTTTAGTATTTATGAAAAAAATAATATTAAATAATGATATATTATTGACAAACTTTTTCTTTACAAATTATTGAATTTCACTTGCAAATTTTAATTTAAAGAGTTGTGAATCATGGGATGAGGGGGGATCAGCTTCCTTACTCATCCTTGAAATGAAATTTGAATTATTTAAATTTTAATCTGGACTATTTATATTTAAAATATTATTTTATATTATATTTATTAAACTAAAAATTTATAAAATTTATAAAATAAATTTAATAAATTTTTTACTTGGTCTAGATTTAATTTAGAAGGTCTAATTTAATATCAAAATTTTTAAAATTGATGTATATTAATTATTTAGATATGTTCTCCACAATCCAAATTAAGATCAAGATTAAGATTTGAATTGTGCAAAGTACATCTGGATAATTAATATACATCAATTATAAAAATTTTAATATTAAACTGAACTCCTAAATTAAATTTAGATTAGATTAAAAATAAAAATTATTAAAATTATTTTATAATTTTTATAAAATTTTATTTTTATAAATATAATATAAAATAATATTTTAAATTTGGGCTGTACACATTAAAATTTAAAAGGTTCAGATCTCACCTCCTTAAAATGAGTAGGGAAACTAGTTTCAAGATGAGAGTATCAAACTTTTAAACCAATCAATAAAGGACCTTCGGTCCTTCACACACACAGGAGATTGCAAGTTTAATTCTGCTTGAAACACATAACTTTGTAATTCAAAAAATATAAAATAAAAACTGCAACCAGTTTCCCATTATTTTAAAAAATTAAAACAATAATAATAATAAAAAAGAAACATTAACAGCTATGCTTGACCATAGAAAACGACCCATGACAAAATCAACCTCACATTCACATCCTCCAACTTGCCTATCTTATCACCAAATTCTCAACCCTACCCTCATCTTCTTCCCCAGCTATACACACCCCTTGTCAAACATAGTTAGGTCCATAGAGTGGACTAAATCAGAACCGGTGACAAAGATAGAACTCAAGAATTGACATAAGAACTGAATATATATATATATATATATAATATAAGACAGACTCACCGATCGGAGCTCCAATCCTGATATAGAACGTCCGTTCGTAAATGGAGGACTTGCAAGAGAAGAAGAGAGCCCAGCATAGCCAAGGGTCACTTGCCGGAAAAAATGTCAGGAAGGGTGGCTCTTTCGGGTAACGGTGGCGGCCGGCCGGCCGGCCGGCAAGTCATCCTTGGCTGTGCTACACTCTCTGCGTCTCTTCATGCAAGTCCTGCTTAGGAGGCTTGGCTTCAAGCATTCAAATGTGTTGATTTCGAGACCTGAACTTCATTGAAATCCCTGGACATGGATAGTAGTTTCATATTCCATATACATATATCTATGGGTCAATGCTTCATTCATTAATCAATCCCGAACGCAGCAAGTGGCTTTACCTGGTTATATATAGAGCCAAACTGTTATGTCTTGTAATCTTTTCATTTCCTTTTATATATATATATATATATATATATTCATATATATCGAAAAAAAAAGAGCAGCAACTGGCTTTACCTGCAAGCCAAAAGCCACTCTTCAAAAGTCAGCAACCTCACATGTTGAGATAACATTAAATTTAATTTGAATGGTATAGATATTTAATTATATTTTTCAATTTATTATATTTAATTTTTTTAAAAAATTTTCCATTGTATATATGTTAAGATAACAAGTTAAAATATTAAAAATAAAATAAAATCAAAATATATATATATATATATATATATTGGTTTTTCTCTTTTCATCTCTCATGTATCATTCTTAGTTGTCAAGATCCCAAAAATAAAAATAAAACAAACAAACAAACAAATTCAGAAATTTTGTCAAGGTATAGAGATGTCAATGGGTGCATTAATTGTTAGCTTTACTTCCTCATGTTTTCTCTTCTGACAAGTGTGTATAACTAAATTTCATTATATAATTTAACTAAAACCTATAGTCAAAATAATAAGTATAAATTTTTCAACAAAAAATAATAAATGTATTTGTCATGGGGTGTGAAGATAGTCAAATTAAGGTCATCATATATATTCCATATAGAGACCATTTTACTAGGGGCTGAAGGAGGCGGACCAAACAGGGGCCATGCCTTCCCGTTTAATTAATTTTTTTAAAAATATATCCAAATCCAATATCACTATAATAACAATTGAATTTTATTAAATTAATTTTTATTAAATGAAATTTGACAAACTAAATTTTGACTGCCAATTGTGTGTTTAAATTAAAAAATCTACAACTAAGGCTAGCAAATTAAAATTAAAAAAATATCTGTAACTATGACATAGGGCCTATTTGTTGAGTATTTAAAAATAAATAATTTTTAAGTAGTTTATAGATTTTATAAAAAGAAATTTAGTTTGTAGAGATTTTATTAAAAAAACAAACATTATTATATATTTAGTTACACTAATAGAAAAGTGATTATTAGTTAGTTATTTTTAAATTTTATGATATCTTCCTTGATTTTTGTTTTATAAAAAGGTTTATTATTATATTATTTAAAAAATTTATAATATCTTCGCATATCTCACCTTTTTAAAAAACTCTCATCTACTATATTAGATTATTTTTAGAAGCTACTCAAAGTAGCTTCTCAAAATAATAAAAAATTATATTTTTTTTAAATTCTGATTATTTTCAAATGTTTAAATAAACATCTTAAAAAATCATAAAATACATTTAAAAAAAACAATTTTTTATGAAATAAGCTGAAACAAACAGGTCCATAATTTATGTTTGGATACCTTTTTTTTTTAAATCAGTTGGATCAATTAAAATTTATTTGAATAATTTAATTCAAAAATTAGTTAAAATATATAATGACAAGAGATAAAAAAAATGTATAATGACAAGAATGGATATGAGTTTTGTTTATATATATATATATATATATATATGACTAATTTCATATTTCTAGGATAAAATATGAAACTTAAAATTACAGTTTTTTAAAAAAGTAGATTACAAATATAAAATACATTAATAATGCAAAAATATTAATCTCTAAAAAGGTAGAATTAAATAATAAAATTCAAAATATTCAATATGAAAAGCTAAAATAAATTTATAAATTAAAAAATATTCAATTCTTATGAAATACAATTTAGTCTTAGTTTGCAAACCTCATTTCATTCTAACCTTATTATATTTTCTTCTCCTATTTAATGTTTCATAAATAAAGTTATATTAAATGGAATGTATTTTTAAAATTCATATTTATGTTTTTTAAAAAATAAATTTGTAAAGTATATTATTGAATTTTATTGGTATGTATAAGTTTGGCTAAAACTATCTTATAAAGTGGAGTAAATTATAAAATATTAAATTATACAAATTAAAAAAAATGATAAATTATAATTAAATGTACAATAATAAACCACACAATCATCTTCTCTCCCATCCACGCCCACCCACTTCCACGTTCTCTCTCTGCTGAATTCATTTTCTTAATTGGAGTTGGATTTTCTCTTCTGTGGAGGAGAGCAGAGGAGAGACCAATGTGGATCTAAATTATTAAATTGAATTTAAAAATTTAAATTTTATAATTTTTAAAAATAAATATTTAGGATATAGGAAGGAAGGGGAAGCCGCTAGTTCTTGTTCATAGTTCATACCCCTCAAAAGGCCATTTTATATAATCTTCTACACCCCTTTCCCTTCATCTTCTTCTCCCTCTCCCCACCTCAACAAATGAAGGAAATTAAAGCAACCAAGATGGAGCAAACACAACAATCCTCAACCTCCATGGACAGAGACGATGGCGAGCACAGATACAGTCAGCAGCGACGATGCTAAACACAACGGCTAGTGTTTATAGAAGTGAAGACCGTGTGGGTGAGGTGAGAGAAAAAGGAGAGTGGAATTTGATAATAAATGCCCCACCAACATTCCTAATGCTTGTTTTGCTTCAACACGTGTTTGAATTTTTTTTTTTTATCCAAATATAATTTCAGATCTTTCAACGAGCTTTTTTATCCTCAACTGAGGTTGGAGTCCCCCGAATCTCAGTTAGAGGGTAATCCAAACATACCTGAAAAACTAAACAGGCACATAGAAACTAACGTATTGCAAGGGTAAATGGATAATAAACAAGACGGGAGTAATAATTAAAAGGAAACAAAAGAAGAAAGATAATATAGTTAATTCCTTTTTCAAAAAACTAATACAATTATTTTTTTTGGTGACATCTAGTCGTACTTGAAACTTCACTCGCCATAGATTATTTAGTTTCAAGGCAAGCCACTATATGCTTTATATCCAGCTTTTTCTATTCTACTCCATTTCTTTTAAATTATAAAATAATTTTAGAAATAATTTGTTATTCTAAAATACGAGACAATTTAACAAATTTTTTTATATTAATGAGACTTTTTAATATTACCTTTTATAGGGAGAGAATTAAAATAATTTTAATGTAATAATAATTAGGTATGTAGATTTAAAATTATATTAAATAAAAAGTATTTTTGAAATTGCAAAATTTTATTTTAAATTATTTTATAATTTGAGGTTGAGGAAATAAGAAGCAATCATGACCTCTACTGTGGAATGTGGATACTCAGGAAAACTATAATTTTTCATCAACTTTATTCAGGTTTAACTACATTCACAGAATTCTCATTACAAAAGATCAGGTTCATAATGCTGCGGCCTTCCGTCATTTCGATATCAATGTTTTAAATGGGGATTTTTATTTTTTTTAATTTTAACTTGCGTTAGACCTCTGACAATGTTTGCAGTCTAATATTTTTACTTTTATTTAATAAATTTGTTTTTTTTTTTAATTTTAAAAGCAATCATGACCCTCCTTTGTGACCAAGACACTAAAATAAATACTGCTTATTTATTCTAAATTTTAATTTGCAGGCATGTTTTGATTTTGGTGAGCCTTTTAGGGTCAATTCACATAAACCTTTTCTTAATAAAAAAATTCATTATATATTGATGTGAAACGCAAGCGTGAGAGCTAATAATAATATATATTGAAGAAATCCTACTACTGATAGAGCTTGTTAATGTTATACCATGCTAGTTAGCCAAAATTAACATTTTTGAAACGTGACCTCATTTTCTGCCTATTTGTCTTTGTACACACACACACACTCGAAATTTCTCCTGGTCTTTCTCTCCTGCTTCACTAAAACACACTATCACACTTGAATTTCTGTGATTTGTAAATCTGACATATTTATTCACATGCCACTTTTTTCTTGCCCCGAAAGAGCTCATGAGAGATTGACTAAAATATAACTAACTAACTATGAGTTCAACAGTCTTGTAACCTCCTTCAATGGACTCCTTCACTGCATCCACCACCACCTGAGTCTTCCTACTCACCACCCCCCAACTCTTCTCCGGCGTCGCTCCTCCGCTCTCCACCGCCTCCACCAGGCGACTGAACTCCATCACCATCAACACCTCCTGAGCCTCCTCACTCTCAACCTTATGCTCATTCGCCTCCGGGCACCACCTCTTGTCGTCAGCCGCCAGCTTCCCAAAGTCCACCTGAGATGCCTCCCAGAAGAAGCCATAGCCGGAGTTCTCGTCAAACGGGATGATGAAGTCGTGGAGACGAAGATACCCCTTGGTGCCCAGAGCTGTGACGTCCAAGCTAAGATAAGACAAGAAGGAGCAGTGGAAGGTTGCTAGTCTGCCGTCGGGCCAATGCAAGGAGGCGCCGCACGAGAGGATGACTCCGGCGTCGTTTCTGACGGCGCCGGGAAGTGCGAGGACTGTGGCTGGCAGGTCGTAGTCGACGGCCCATAGGATGGCTCGGATGCAGTACCAGCCGATATCACCTAAGGCTCCGAGGCCGTCGAGGTCCGGCTTGACTCGGATGCTGTGGGTTAGAAATTCTGGACCTGGGTTGTACGCTGCGCAGCTGTGAATCTGTTGAACACAAACATGGATCTCATAATTTTGCTTCCACATGTGTTAGAACAATGCTGTTAGATCCAATCAAGAGTATCTTATGAAATTTTTTTCCATCAACAATATTCAAACATTTGATTTGTAGATCTCCTAATGAAAATCAAGTCTCTTTCACTTAATCTAATCACATTACCATAAGTACGTAATTTTGTTCCCACCTCCTAGTATTGTTATTTCACAGCACACACTTTCACCATCCTTGTTATATGTCATGCTTCGTTGTTTTCTTCATGTAGTTGCCTTCCAATAATTTTTTTTTCAATTGAACCCCAAGTCTGATCAGATCACATCAGAAATCCAGCAAACTTGAGAACCCGTTAAAAACTGACCCCGAACCAGTTGAACCTGACGTATTATTTTTTATCTTTTTATTTTAATTCATATTTGTAAACTACAATTTATACTTATCAATGCCTAATGAGCATTGAGAATTAGAAAAATGAACAAATACACAAGAAATATGCATGAATTATATACAACGTTTATATTTAATTTCAACATTCTTTTTCTGTTAATGCAACTAACTGTATTCAATAGCTGCTCCAATATGGAGGTAACAACGACAATACTCAGATTTTGATTTTCAACTCTTGATTCAACAACTAACAAGTATCATGCATTAATTGTAAACGTATTCATATTAAATCAGTTTAATCAGATGGATTGAGAGTAAAGTAAAGAATAAGAAAAAATGAGCAAAAATATGATGATATATATAAACACACTCATTGTGAGTTGGTAATACGGCGAACCCATTGATCGTGGATTAACTCGTCATTAGTTAGGGGGTTAGCAGGGCATGTTAGAATCAATCTATCTTCTAACAAGTTGTGAAAATACCGACCTAACTTGCTATAAGTGGATTGGTAGGCCAACTCATTCACTACTACAAAATAACTTATAGAAGCACTTATTTTTTGCCTAACAAAGCACTTCCGTAGCTAGCTGTCTTGTATATATGGAACACTTTATAAACGCTCCCATAGGGGTGGACTCTCATATAGATAGGCATTTGAGAGTGCTTTTTAAAAAAGTACTCCAATAGATAGGAACATGTGGGCATACAAGAGCGCTCGTAAAATAAGCGCTTCCATATGATGCTTGTGGGAGCACTCCCACATGTGAGCTTACATGAGCACTCTATTTTAAAGTGCTCTTGTATGCCATATATATGACAGTGCTCTATTTTTGAACACTATGCTACTGTATATTTTTTTTATTTTTTTATTTAAATTTATAAAATGTTATCCCAGTATTTTTACAAATGACTAATTTCAATATCAAAAAATTAATTTTAGTTCAAAAATAATATTATTAAACATAAAAATTTGTTCACCTTTGGAAGAGCGCTTTGAAAGGCTTTTGACATGCAACCCTTCTAGAATGCTCTTTTAAAGAGTGCTTTGGAAGAATTAATTTTTTAGGAGTGCTCTTACAGGTTTAATAATTTTCACTACAACAGAATAAGCTAAATATGACGGCTTATATTCGACGGTTATAAGTGAAAAATGACAAATAAAAAAGGCGCTAACTACTTGACGGTTATTTCAAAACAACCGTCAAGTATTTTGTATATATTTGATGGTTATATTGACATAACCGTCAAATATATATATGCATCCCAGATTTTATTTTTTTATAAATATATTTGACGCTTATTTTACAATAACTGTCAAGTATATTTCGGAGGACTTGACGGTTATTTGTAAAAAAACATCAAATATATGGTTCAAAAGGAAAAATAAAAAAAGTTAATTATTTGACGCTTGTTTACTAATAACCATCAAGTATATCTGCATTTTATTTGACGGTTGTTTAATAACAAGCGTCAAGTAATATATACTTGACGGTTATTATGAAATAGCCGTCAAGTATTATCTTTTTGACGGTTATTTGTAAAAAAGTGTCAAATATATGGTTTAAAAGGAAAAATAAAAAAAATTAATTACTTGATGCTTGTTTATTGATAACCGTCAAGTATGTCTGAGTTTTATTTGACGGTTATTTAATAACAAGCGTCAAGTAATTAATACTTGACGGTTATTTCATAATAACCGTCAAGTATTATCTTTTAAATTTACGCTCCAAAACCTTTCATTTTTACATTTCTGCAACTCAAACATTTTCAAAAATACACCCAGAGTGCTCGAAAATCATTTTCCATCACTAAAACTGCCCAAAAACACAGATTTAGACTCAATTCTTCTTGGGTTTTGCTCGTGGGTTTCATTTTTTGGGGTTTGTGGGTTGTTTGTTCATCCAAGTCTTCATTTCGGGCGTTTTGGATTCGTTCTCTGTCTTCTATATGTAAGTTTAATTTCTTCTTCATCTGTTTAATTCATTTTTGGGTTTAATGTTTAGGGTGAATCTGACTTTAAATTCCCCTACTTGCTTCTCAATAGTGCAAAACGAAAGTTGTCTTCTTTCCTCCTTCCCTTGCCCTTCTTCTTCGTCCTCGTGCTCTGCCTCTCTTAAGTAAGTTGGCCTATCCTTCTTCCCTGTGATATTGTTGTCAATTAATTATAATTAGGGAGTTGATTGGAATTAGCAAATGGAATATGAATTTTTTATTCATTAGAATTACGATTTGTGATTGAATGTATATAGGCTTTTATTTTCAGTTCTTTGTTAGTTCTGAAATTAAATTTAAGATTATATGAAAATTAATTTACTGTTGGGCATTTTATGAATTTGTTGAAAATTTGCTTCCTTTGTTGTGATGATGGTGATTAATTTTGTTATTGGATAACTTGATTAGCTATGATTGAGTTATATTGAATTTATAGGACAAAATAGATTGTTGGGATAAAATTTTTATATCAATTATTGTTGGGTAACTTGATTGAGTATAATTAAGTTATATGAGAACTTGAATGATAAAGCTTTTTGTTTAAGTTGATTAATTGTGTTCTTTTTATTTAAGTTAATTAATGTTTGAATTAATTGTGTGCATTTTGTTTAAGTTGATTAATTGTGTTTTTTTTATTTAAGTTGATTAATGTTTGAATTAATTATGTGAATTTTGTTTAAGTTATTTAATGTTTGATTTAATTGTCTTCCTTTACAGATAAATGGCTTCTGATAGCGAGTCTATTGATACCCCTCCATCAGTTCTAGCAACAAATTCGACTGAGGTTCTGAGTACACAGAAAAAGCTAGAGCAGGAGTACAATAACATTCAACGAGGCCTAACAATAATGGAAGAGGTGACAAAAAAAAAGAACTACAGGAAAAAAAAATTGATGTGCAATGAAACAAGAAAGGACAAGCAATTAAATCCTCAAAATTCACAAGTTATATTAGGGTGGTGGCAAAGACTACTGTGCCTATCACAGTAAAATTATGGTGCAAAGTAGATGAGGCCACGAAGGCTCTTATTTGGGATACTGTAGCAGTAAGTTACATTTTACTAAGTATATTTTGGTATAAACTATTTTTAAAATTAATGCATCTGATATGTTATTTATTTTATTTTGCAGTCAGGATTTGACATTGATGAGAGTAGGCAAGATTTTGTCCTATAAAAGGCTGGGAGGGCACTACAGTCTTTCAGATATTTTATCACATAGAAATATTTGAAAGACCCTGATACTGAATTTGTAGCTCGAGTTCCTCCCTTATTACAGCCTTTGGTAAAACAAGAGGATTGGGATGCTTTTGTTGCCTCACGGCGTGAGAAGGAATTCAAGGTATTAATGTTTCTTAAATTTCAAGTTTGGTGTTATTTATTGATTATATGTGTATGTACTAACAAAAATTTTTATTATTAACTCGTCAAGGAATTAAGTACACAAAATAAGGCGAGAGTAGCGAAGAATGAATATCCTTATAGAGTAGGGAGGTTAGGGTATGCAGGCATTGAGCAGAAACAATTAGAAGAGGAGGGATCAGAGGTTACCATATCCCGCCATAAGCTCTGGGCATTGGCACGCACTAATAAAGAAGGAATTATTGATAACCCTCGCGTGAAGGAGGTTACTGAAAAGATTGTAAGTATTATATTTATCTACTATGTAATAATTAATTATGAATATCCAAACTAAACATATTTACTCTACATAGGATTCCATCTCTCAGGAAGTCTCACAGGGCAACCTTCCTGAGGATGAGGATATCTTGGCTAGGGCATTGGGAACTGCTGACCACCCTGGTCGTGTTAGGGGTGTTGGCTTCGGAGTCATGAAGAAGTAATATTTTAGTAAGATAAAAAAGTGAACATCGGCTTCTTCGTCTGAGGTCTAAGAGCTGAGAGAAGAGCAAGCCGTTATGAAGCAGCAACTACTAGCCTAGGCAGCATTAATTGACATGTTGTTGAAAGGGCAAGTCCTTGGGAGGACTTTGGGTGAGATTAGCCCTAGTCAAAAAGATAGCTGCACAGTCCCCTCAAAAAAACTACCTGAGGTAATATGTTTTACCTTATGAATTTGTCTAATTATTTTTATTTTAGAAACTGATTGTCATTGTTTGTTTAATTAGGGCGAGAACGATTGCAATTGTTTAGTAGACACTCCTGAACGTAGAGTGGTTGTAACAGGGCGTGTGTACAACATTCCTGGGGACACAATCCATAATCATCCCCTCCCGCCCGACTGTGTTAGAGTTTCTCTACTTGTTGCCATCGATCCCAACTATTCATTGCCTGTTCCTACTGATGAGGCACAGACGGTAGGGGAAGCAGTAAGGAGCTTCGTTGCATGGCCTAGCCACCTTGTAATAGTGGTGACACCAAAGCCGGCAAAGGACCCATTGCCTCCAAAGAAAAAGGTACGGTTTAAATAGTTATTTATAATTTTATAATATAGTTATAAATATCTAACTTTTTTGTTATGCAGCTAAAAGGGAAAAGCAAGCTAAAAGGTAAGTCGGGCCATACCAAAGAGTCAGCCACAGTTTCGCAATATCCAGCAGCACCGGTGCCAGCTGTAGAATACAAATATCGTGCCTCTCTTGAGACATATACGATGGCTACGAGGATGGCTCGTCAAGTTGCGATTGGGGATATCATTAGTTTTGATGATGGGCTGTATGGAAGACCGGGCTTGTTTGAAGTTGTTCGGGATGAAATTTTGAATGAAATTCTTAAGCACGAAATGGCCAGTACTAGTCTGATGAGCTTCTACATGAGGTATTTCTTCAATAATGCTCAGTTAATTACTTAAATTATATACATGTATGTGTGCACGCATGTGTATTAACCTGGTTATTTTTTTACCTAAGCCACCTTTATACCTCATTTGTGGTTCCTGGCGGCCTTGAGTCGAGATTCAAGCTGATTAATCCCCACGATGTCTCTGCCTATAATGGAATTACAAAGGAAGCTCTTGAAGATCAAGCAAGGCAGCTTTTAAATCAATTTAAGGATAAGGGAGCAAGCAATGATACTTTATTTTTTGCTCCTTACTGTCAAGGGTAAGCCACTTTCTAGCTACTTTTGCTACAAGGAAATATTTTTTATATTTACTTATTTAATAACACTTGTTATTTCTTATTAGGGGGCACTGGATGCTTATTGTGGTTAACCCTGTTGCTTCAAAAATTTGGTATCTTGATCCTCTTAACGGAGAACCAAGCAATAGGCCAGATATGGTAGAACTTTTTAATAAGTAAGTTGAATTTTTATTAATTGTTATTTTAATATCCATATATATTGAATTTCTAACATTTATTCTTTATTTCCTTCTTAGAGCTGTGGTCTTGTATCAAACTGCGACCAACAAGACTTTGTCCCCTAGCTTAAGGGTATTGGACTCTTGTAAGACATGGGTCACAGTTAAGGTAAACCTAATGGACTGAGTTTTTAATTAATAAACCGTGACCTTTTAACTATTATTTTATTGATATGTGATTTTTTTTGCATAGTGTCTACTCCAGCCAGATCAGAGCAATGACTGTGGCTATTATTTGATGAGATTCGTGAAGGACATTATCACTCATGCCCCTACCACATTACCTAACAAGGTATATATTAAATTTAATGATACTTAAATTATAAATTTTAACAACTTTTGTTAGATAGCTATTAACTTGAATTTGTTGTAACTCTTTGCATACAGTACTTCGAGGATGCCTACTGTATTCAGTATGCAGTTGCACATATAGAGGAAACCCTTGAAGAGGTAGCTCAGGCTGTGTTTAACATGTGGATAGCAGCAGTGGTTAGGCCCAATTAGTTTTGGTGTACACATTTATTTTTTTAGTCAATTTTATGTCTGAGGCCAATTAATTTTGAAATTTAAACTTGTAAAGTAGGTAAAGTTATAGATTTTTTTTTTGGCATCGGGTTTAGAGTATAGGTAGATATAAGATAAATTAAAGATATTTAGATTGTAATTTTAATATAAATAATGATTCAATTATTTTTTATTGTTGGCTGGCTGGTATATATATTTGATTGCTTTGTATTTGTAGGGGGCTGCTTTCCAGCTTTTAAAAAAACACATTATAAATACTTGACGGTTATTTAGAAAGAAACGTCAAGTATAAGTTTACTTAACAGTTATTTAAAAATAACCGTCAAGTATGTACGAATACTTGACGGTTATTATGAAATAACCGTTAAGTATTTGGCATACAGAATTTACGAAAGCATATTTGACGCTTGTTATAAAATAACCGTCAAATATTACTAAATACTTGACGGTTATTTAAAATAACCGTCAAGTATATTGCTGCAGTATATGCAAATGTTTAAGTAATTATTTGACGGTTATTTTGAAATAACTGTCAAGTAATCTCTAAAATATTTGACAATTTTTAATCGTCAAATAAATATATGACGCCTCATTATTTGACGGTTAAAAACTGTCAAATAATTTTTAAAATAACCATCAAATAAGGGGGTATTTTGTAGTAGTGTTTTTTAACTTTTTATTTATTAATTTTGGAGTGCTCTATTAATGAGTGCTCCAAAAGACAAGAGATAAAAGAGTGCTTTTTTGAAAAAGCGCTCCGATACATTTTGCTTAGAAGAGTGCTCCTAAAGATCCATTCCGAAACATATATTTTGTTGTAATGACTTTCTTTTTCCTTTTATCTACATTTTCAAATATTTTTTAATTTTGTAAATTGAATTATTAATTTATAAACTAAATTTAAATTTATTTTCATATTTTCGTAAAATTATATGATTACATTAATCTCAAAACACATAACTTATTGATATAAGCAAGTAATCTGCTTTACATAATTATTTTGTCAATATAAAAAATAGTAAATCAATAAAAAATAAGTAATCAAAATGTTGCTAACATGAAATAAAAAAAATTACACCTAAAATAAATAAAAAATAAAAATTAATTTTTCATAAAAATTAAAAAATTATAAAATAAAATATAACAAATAATAATAATAATAGCAACAACAATAATAAAATAGGCCCAACCCACCATGAATTAAGCGGGGTTAGCCCAATGTACCTGCCATTCAATGAGTTGAAATTTTTCAACCCAACTCATCTTTTTGTTGGGTTGGCTTGCCGTGTTGCCGAGCCTAAGTTATTTTCTCAACTCTACGTCCTTACATACCCCATGCACACAAACAAACTACTAGTTTATAATATATACTCTCTTCATTAAAAAATATAAAATATTTTTAATTAAATTTTATCTTTAATAAAATAATTATTTATTTTTAAATTAATTTTATTTTTTTATATTTATTTTTATTAAACACCCTACAATAAATATAAAGTCGTTCATCAATGGGGCATTTAAAAAAAAAAACAATGATTACACATTGAAAGACTAAAAATGCCATACATTTTTTAACATCCAACTTTTTAAAAAATACTTTATATTTTTAAATGGAGGGAGTACACACACATATTATATAATTTTAAATAATAGACATATTCAAACTTTTTTGCGGATCCTGATTTACTTTATTGAGTCTACGAACTTTCTAACATATAATCAGGTTTACTTACAAAATCTCATTAATTATTTAATTATTCGTGTCATCTCCTTGTATTAAGGAAACTGTGTCTTAGTGTCTGGATATTTTAAAACATTTGTTTAGTTCACGAAAATATTTTGTTCTTGTAATGGGAAAACAACTATGTATGTTAATGCAGAAAAATATAATAAATTAAATATTCAAATCATGTGTATCAAAAATATATATTTTAATGCATATATCATGCAAATTTAAGCCTTTTTTTTTAATAACAGAATGCATGTTTTGCTTCTTCTTTTCTTAATTTTTTTTTGTTTGTTTGTGTGGATTCAGCTAGAGCTGCTTCTTATTATTATTTTTTGGGTATGTAAGAAAAAGGGGTTTTGATTAGTTTATCATAAATTTATTTCATGTGCAATTGTTTGGATGACTTTCTTCATTATTAATTACATCAAGTGAGACGTTATGTGGTGGCCTAGTGTTTTCAATTGCATCATTAGTTTTGTGGAATCAAAACATATCATGTTTTCTAAAGCACTGACAATCTTTTAATTAATTTCGAAAACTATTTTCCATTATTCTTTCTCTATATATTTATGTGTGACTATCAAGGAAAGTAAATAGAAAATGAAATGCTGTTATTTCTAGCAAAACATGTATGATTTTGTCAGAGTAATTTGTAAAAGCAAATGCTTAAATTTGGTGAGTTATTATAATCATACTTAATTAATTAGTTATTAATACAAGTGTGGATTTGAGTATTCAACATACCTGTTTTGTTTTTGTAATGCGAATTTTGTATGTTTTATAAAGCATTAATTTCAAACTCTCAACACTCTGACTGATGTCTCATGTACCTTCAAAATCGGTTTGTTAATAAATAAATAAATAAATAGGGGATATATATATATATATATATATATATATATATATATATATATATCCCAGTAATACATAAGTAAAAAATGAATTACTCAAAAAATAGTTTAGCAACTACAACAACTAGCTTAATGTCTAACTTGTATACATATGTCTATGCATATTATAATCAATTACGTAACTCAAAATGATAGACATAACATAACGTACGTGAAATTTCAATATTCATATATGAGATCTATAGATATACAGATAAAAGCTGCTTAATTAATTGTGGGATATTTTTATAGAGTAATTATATTATACTTCTGTGATCCTATTTATAGGATAGATAAAAAGTATTTGTTTTGATCTTATTTATAAAGCATCTCAATGAATGATATATCGATTATCATTTTGCCCTTTTTAAATGTTAAAAAATTTATTAAATATTAAAATATTTTATTTTTAAAATATGCATGTTTAACAAGGGTAAAGTTATAAACTTGTTAAATTTTTTTAAAAAAAGTAAATAAGATTTAAAAATTTTTCTTAATTGAGGTAAAAAATATTAAAAGCAACTTATAGGACCAAAAAAAGTAGTATAAATATGATGAACCAAGTCCTTGAAACTCCCAAATTTAGGTTATCCAAGCTACCAAGCTACCCAAACTTTATAAACCAGAAAATCTGGGTCAAGTCACAATCTCGACACACTTCCATTTTGTTTCTATTTAAATTTTGTCTTTCTTTCTTTGGCTATCTTTATTCCTTGTTGATAGTATGAAATGTTCTTGCATTAAATTTTGAAGATTAATTGCGTCAACCCACTCGCCCCCTCGACAAAAAAACAATCTGCAAAAATCAACCCAAAAAAAAAAAACCATAGAAGAAAATGGATTCTTTGTTAATTTTAATTTTTCTATAAATGGAAAGTTTAGATGAGTTCAGAATAAGCTCATCAAGATCGGAACCTACATGCTTCTGATTCAAAGAGAGGTTAATTTTTATTTTCTTTTCCCTTGTGCTAACAATGATGTTAATTACTCTCAAGTGTTGAAGTAATAAAGAAAGAAACACGTATTGAAGGAAGCTTACCAGTTTCAGCTGACCAAAACGGTGCGCATCGGACAAAACCTCCTTCATCTTCTGCGTTCGAGGGTGGTGCATCCACATGGTGCCATCCATGAACTGGACTCCGTTAGTCTCGCAGGCCTCCAGAATCTGATCGAGCTCCGACACGTTCATCGCCACTGGCTTCTCCAGCAGCACGTGCTTCCGCTTCTTCGCCGTCATCACCGCCCACTTCACATGCAGCGCCGTCGGAAGAGGCATGTACACCGCGTCCACTTCACTGTCCTCCAACACTCCCTCATAGCTTCCATAAACCCTCACCGTCTCCGGCAACCCATTGTCGGCAGCGAACTGCGAAGCTTTCTCGACGGAACGGCTCCCTATAGCCACCAGAGTAGCGTTTGGGGCTTGGCTTATGGCTTTGCACAGCTTGATGGCGATCTGAGCGCAGCCGAGAATACCAAAACGCACCGTCGTTTGATCGTTTGCCATCTGATCAATTTGTGAGTAGTGAGAGAGTCTGGGAGATACCAGTGATGAAGAAATTGGAATAAGCCCCACTTGTTAGTGATTGTAATGCTCAATTAGCACTAATTATATTGTATTAAAGTATTAAGACGCATGATAATTACAGGTGGTTGGATCCCAAAATGTGTTTTTTTTTTATATTATATCATATTGACCTAGCATTTAATTGGGGAACCTTTTTTTCTTTTTATTTTTGCGTAGATACATGTGTTGCTTTCAAAAATTGTTTTAAATTTCCGTAGTTTATGAATATGTTTCTGTTTTCTGAATTGTCTCTTTGGGCTTTAGTATACAAATGGGAGAATAAATCCTTTAAGAAATTGGTAATTATTGCCCTTGGAACAGTTAGAAATTAGCTGGCCCAAAAAGAAAAAAGAACAATATATTTAAGAAATTACTCAACCATAGTTGACTTCTTCAAATAATAGCATATTGTTTAATATGTATTTATTTAATTAATCCGAAGCAACAGCTTCTAGAATATACACTTTAATTTATATAGAGTAGCCTTTAAAGCAAGCCCATTTGCCACCAGGCAATAGTTTAATACTACTCTCGTGGTTAACTTCACCACCATCTTCAATGTATACAAGGGAAATTAAAATAAAACTTTTTGGAAAAAAAAAATTTAAAGACCTTTACTTTACAAACGGGTTTGGACTCGGTGGGATACATAAATTCCCTCACACGATACATATTTCACATAACAAGTAGTAATTGTTAATTATTTAATCAAACACTATTAGTCAAAAAATATGAATTAGTGAGAGATTGTTTATTTCTCCCTAAGATATCAAATTAACAAAAAAAAATAGTTAAGGATGTTAATTGTGTAGCTCAATTTAAAAATAACGAGGGACTATTAATTAACAATAGATTGAAAATGAAAAATTAGTGAAAAATTTTATATTTTTCTATAAAATAAAATAATTTTGTCGTATCATATTCAAAAAGTACCAATTTTCACCTCTCAAATCATATTAGATCAAAACGCAAATTGGAGAGGGTGAGAAATGGATAACTTCAAGAGTGGTTTGTCAAATGCTTTACAACAAACATAATGGTAGGTGGGAGAATATTTAAATAAGTGAATGCCTTAAGGCTGCTCATTACTGTAACAATGTCATGCGCAGATTAAGTGCTTGATTTTCCTTCACCAAGGTAAGGGACTAAGGGTTCAACTTATATCGTAAATTAAAAATACTAAATTTTGACACGAGTATTGGATATACTTATTATAAAGCACTTTTAATTATTTTAATTATCAAAATTAATAAGAGATGGTTAAATTATGAACTATGCTTGAAAATAGAATAAGCTTTCATTTTTACCCTTATTTATGTGAAAATATTTTAAATTTGTATTATATTCTCTCTCATAATCAATAAGTTTACATAGGGATAATATGTGAAAAATCCTTATATTAAGGACCAAAAAACGTAATAAATACATCATCAAATGTCTTATATTAAGGGCCACAAAATCCTTCTAAATGGTGCCTTTTAATAGGGACCAAAGGGAAAATGTTAATACTTCCTTTAGCTAGTCCAAAATATAAGATATTTTCAACTAGTTAGCATTAATCTAAAATATAAGACACTTTGTAAAAAAAAATTTAATAGTAATAAATTCTTCTTTTTCACAAATAACCTTACTAATTGTATATTATAAAGAGAAACTCTCTTTGTTCAATATTTTTAAATATCATATTAAAAAATAAAAGGCAATTTGAGTGTTTCAAGGTGCAATTAATAATTTTTTTTCAAAAATACCTTTGGATGTAACTAATAAGGTTTTTAATTTTAAAAATAATTAACTATTCATTAGGGATGTAATTCAGTTGAAGGATACAATATTGAACGGATAGAGTATTATATACTCCTTTTGTTCAAACAATGGACAAACAAATTCATCCCATCAACTACTTCTAGATCGATTTAGAGGGAGTTGTCAATCAAAGGACCAAAATGGACTGATCCAACGTCGGCCACAAGACTAATGAAGTTATGATCAAAAGACATTTTGGTGTTTTTTAAGGATAACTAATGAGATTTTTCTAAAAATTATCTCAATTACTATTTGAGATTAAAGATATTTTTATATTTATTTGTGATTAAATTAATTAATTAGATAAAGGTAGACGTTGAAAAAGTAAGTAGTTTTTTTTTTTTAATGGTGTTAAATGTTGTCTTGGAGATAGAAGTTAGCTAAAAATGCTTTATAATTTTAAATAGAGAAAATGAGAAAGAAATTAAAAGAAATTAAGATAGATTGATTTTAACTGAATGGTAATATTGAAAATATTGATAATTTTTTATTATTTTAATGATACAAACTACTTTTAATTATTTTTCATGACCCTTGTAATGCTGTTAAATTAAGAGTGTGTCTTATATGTTGGATGGGAAGAAGCACATGTATGTGTGTAGGGAAAAATTCTATAATTAGCCTAATATATTTAAGATATTTTTTTCCCGTTAAATTAAGATATGTGATCCTTCAGATATATATTATTTATTATATAACAAACTTTTGTTATTAATATTATTAATTCATTAAAATTAACTTGTTTTGATTAACATATACGTATGAGTGTGCATATATATGCATGTATATATACTTTCTTTAGTCGTGTTTATAATTAATTCACCTTAAACATATTTCACGTGTTGTCAAGAAAAATGAGATTACAACAAGTACGATCAAACTTGCAAATTTTACTTACAAAGGGAGTGACATGCTACTAGCAATAAGACTATTATATTGGCATGCAATAAAAAAAATCTTAACACTTATTAATTCTCTCTAGAAAGATTAAGAAAATTTTAACTTTATTCTTATTAAATATACATATTTTTATGATAAATTTTTTTCTCTCACCTACATTTAATGAGTAAAAGGAAAAAATTTCTAATGAAAAAAATCAATAACATGCGATATAATTATTAGAATAAAAAAATTCCTTATCATCATGCCTTAATTAAAAATGGGATTTCAACAGCATATGTAAAGAGTTAAAAGAAAAAAAGATGTGTGTGTTTTGAAATTAATCCCTTAAAAAAATATAAACGTTATTTAAGGAGTTTTGTCATCTCCCAAGCAATGTTTTTCATATGTACTTCCAGTAATTGAACTATGAAATAATAATATTTAAAGAATTCAAACCACTACCATCTATACCATATATATATATTCAGTTGATAAAAAGATGCGTGTTGATGCATAGGCATTCGAGTCCTATATTTAATAACCGCAAGCCTCAAATTTGTTTGTTGAATCCTCAACAAAAATCCTAGCATGCTGCAGCACAAAGCACAATATTTCAGATGTTTTATTTGGTTCAAGATTGCCACGACACACCTCTTTGATAAATATCTGTCGCACTGCACTAAATTAATTATCTAAACAATTCCACACTTTAATGAATGTGACAAAATAATATTATAAATAGATTATGAAGGAAGGTATAGATAGTGCAAGACAACATGCTATGGGTCCTTAAATAAAATATTAAAATCAAAGATGAAAGAAGATTGTGTTATTATGAAAATAAAGAACAGCCTACAATGTTGTCTTCCTTTGCCGCCTTCCATATTCCCTTTCGCTAATAGTGCCTCTTGGCTCTCTGGCATTTTTTTTTTTTTTGAATTTTGCTGTGTCTATAATTAACTACATTAAATACAAATGCTCTCTCAACCATTTGGTCCTATTTTCTCCCTCCGTTTTTATATATACAAAAATAATTAACCCATAGAATTTAATTAAGTGTAAGAATTATGTCTAAAAATTTAAAAATAGACTAAATTATTCTTGTAATTAATGAAATAAATTTGTCTAGTAAACATAAATATTGACTTTATGAGAGATAATTTGGGCCAAATGTGATAAATACTTCTTAAAATTTATAATTTTACTTATAAATAAAAATAAAGAGAAATATACTAATTTCTCTTATATTTGAAACTAGAGTAGTATAATAGGGGGAGAGAGAGAGAGAATTTTTGGCCATATTTATAAGATATGTCATTAATTTTTATCATAGGTTTCCTCATTTATCCCTATTAAATGTTAGTAGAGTACAATATTAAAATATACATTCCCTTTGGTTCTTAATATAATATGAAGTTTGAAAATTTTTTTGGCTTCTAAATATAAGACAAAGTTAGAGTAATTAATTATTTTCACAATTTACTCCTTATTTATTTATTTATTTATTGTCGTTTTAATTTCTAAATAATATTTTACTATGGTTGCTAATTATAAAATGGTAAAATTAATTTTTTTTTTACAATTTCAAGGTTTTAATTAACATTTCTTATTAAATGTGAAGTTTATTAACTTCATTTATATTAAGGACTATATTATATTTATTAAGATAAAGTTAAAAACTTATTAAATTTTTAAAAAGAGTTATAAATTTTAATTAAAATTATTAAAAGTGGTTTATAAATAACACTTGAAAGAGAGTATTTGTGTTTTGGCCCAACATCAATGCTTTGAAATTTGGATTGGTTATTGAACTAGACATGACATGAGTGTACAGTTTATTGATTGAGAGTGCACACGTGTGGGTGGAAATGCTGTCGTACCCATTGAGGGCTTGTTAATTGTTTTTTGTTATAAGAATATGATTAAAATTATCTAGCATGCTTGTTGATATCTAAAATTAATATATAATATTTTAATTCTTTTCAAATATACTTCTTGTTGTGAAGTAGTTTTTATTCGTGAAAAGTTGTGATCCATTCAAGCATGCTTGGTTATATTTAAATGATTTATGTAACTTGATGCAAAGAGAAAATAAAGTGATATGTTGATGATTGATATGATGATTATATGTGAGAGATCGAGATATGATATTTTGATTACCACATGGTTTGTCTCTATTATATGCGTAGTGGTTGGCTTTATTTTCTTGTAGTTCCCTTTTATCCTGATTTGGGTTTTACGATGATGGGGTTTTTAAGGAGGCAAGTTCTACTTTGAAGGCAATGCACTTTTTGTTAGGTGCAACTAGGGTAGGCTCCAACATGGGG